GTCTCAACGTTCCATCTCCTTTCTTTGCAAAAGTAACCCCGGCACCCCATGGGGAAATGCTGTGTCTAATGAAGCCACTGTTTTGTAGCTCAGTGATTTGTTTCCTTAGCTCTTCCATCTCGATGCGGCTCATTCGGTAAGGAGCTACCGAGATGGGTTGGGTTCCTGGCTGTAAGTCTATGGTGAACTCGACCTCTCTGTCCCCTGGTAGACCGGACAGTTCATCCGGAAATACGTCTGGAAAGTCTCGGACTACTGGAATCTCTTGGATACAAACTTCCTTCTTGGGTTTACCATGTACCACGTCCGGGTCTGCATCGGCATCCTTCTGGGTAAGGTTGTAAACTCTGCCCTGGATTAGAGGCCTCCCTTGATTCTGGTTCCTAGGGCACTCCCTCGCATAGTGCTGGGCACTGCCGCATATGCGACAGGTGTTGTTGAGGCGGTAGCAGGGTCGGTCCCCATGATCCCTGCCGCAGTACTGGCAGGTCTTCCCACGAGCTGCCCCCATAGCCTGAGGAGGGCCCTGAACGGCAAGCCTGGGTCTCTTACTGGGTTGGACAGGCATGGTAGGCGCTGGCCTGCGGAGCGGGGCTGAAGGTCGGGAACTTTCCGCTAGCTGAGGGCGGGTGTCGAAACTCCTTTCTATGATCTGCGCCTTTGCCAGGACTGCCGAATATGTCTCGAGCTCCATCACCAACAAGTGCTGTCTGATCGCCGGGCGGAGACCCCACTGGAATTTCCTGGCCTTTCGGCCCTCATCCAACAATGTCTCCGGGGCATGTCGGCCCAGCTCCAGGAACTTGCGGGCATACTCCGACACTGTCATATTACCCTGGACCAATTGAGCAAATTCCATTTCCTTTAAATGTTGGATGTGTTTAGGGAGATACTCCGCATGGAAAGCCGCTAGGAACTGCTCCCAAGTAACTGGTACAGGCAGGGTGGCCCGCTTGAGCTCCCACCAGCGTACTGCTTCCCCTACCAGCATGTAGGAGGCAATGGCAGCCCTCTGCTCAGGAATTACTCCCAAGGTCTCAAAGGCTCTCTCAGTCTCCGCCAGCCAGCATTGGGCCTCTTCGAAAGAGGATC